CAGACCGAAGTCATGTATAGCCTCTGCGAGTTAAGTGACAGTAGTTAGCCCACTTCTGAACACATGCTGAGAAAGAGAGATGAGGTTGTTTTCTTCTACATACTTGGTTATTAACTTTAAGATAACGTGCTCGAGAATTTTGAAACTAGTGCAAGTTAAACAAATTGGCCGGTAGTTCGATGGAATAGAAGTGTCACCAGATTTGTGCACTGGCACAACTTTCGCTGTTTTCCACTCCGCCGTATGACAGCAATCGCTAGTTGACTTTGTAAATATTAGATGGAGGTACTTGCTAATGGGTTCAGCATAGTTTTTAAAAAAGGTGCTTGGTGTTTGGTCTGGGCCACTACTTTTCTTTTCAACAAGGTCTAATAGCAGTGAAAGAATGCCAAGTACTGTAATATTTAACGACTAAAGTGATCTGCCTTGGTCAACGTGACGGGAACCCGTTGCAATCTTTCAGGGATTATCAGTGCTAAAAACAAAGTGAAAGTACGAATTGAAATTATTCGCCTTTATCTTGCCCTCTTCAGCTTGAACCACTGATTATGTCGACAGTTTTACGCTTACGTAGCGCCAGAGTTTATCGGGTGCGCTTCTGCTAAAGTTTTGTAGAGTGTGTCCGTAAAATTGCCGTTTTTCATCTCGTATCTTTCCTTCTGAGGTCGATGTTAGCGTTGCTATTTTTGATCTAGCACTTCCTAGCGTTTTTTTTGCCTTCCTTACACGCTTGATTTTGAGCTTAAGGCGACTTATGTCACGGGTAACCCATGGGTTGTGATTTCTTGTAACCAGTTTTCGTTCGGTAATAAAGTTAGAAATACAATGCATGATATGATGCTTAAACTGTGTTCACACTTCATCTGTGCTCGCGTATATCTGCAAATAGATCAGAAAAGTCGGAATACTCGTGGAATAGGTAGTTCAATATTGCCGCATCATTACCTTTATTGAAGGAGGGCACATATTTTACTGGGTCAGATTGCCGTATTGGAGTTGCTAAGGCGAAGTACACAGAACTATTTTATGATCCGATATGCCATAAATTGTTCAAACACTTTCACTGTCGGTGGAAAATTGATCACTTGCAAATACAAGGTCTAACACTAAGAGTGACTGTCTTTGCATTAGTGTATTTTGAACAACAAGCTGAGTTAGATTGAAAGCAAATTAGAAGTCGATGACTATATTGTTTGACAGAGGACTTAGAGCTAATGACGACCAATTTACATCAGGTAGGTTGAAGTCACCCGCCATGATAATTCTGCCACCGAGCGTATGCCAATTCATATAACCCAAAAGGGGGTTTAGGTACGTCGCATCGGCATTTGGGGGCTTTTAAATAGCGCCAACATTCACGTAGCCGTAGTTCAGGAGAAGCTTACACCAAACCGCTTCGACAATGTTCACCTATGGCATGACCATGTAAGCCATTCCCTACCGTAAAACAATTGATACTCCGCCGCCTCTAGTCTCCCTATCTTTGCGGACAATTGTGTAGCTCGGTGGCACAATTTCATGGTCATATATATTTGAATGTAGCCACGTTTCACACACAAAGACAATATCAGGTTTTTGGGCCAATAAAACAGCTTCAAATTGCTCTGCCTTGTTTGCAAGACTTCGCGCGTCAACATTTAGAAGAGTTATGGGCGTTGTCGTCGAGAAGACTGCGCCATTGGTAGTTGCTCTTTGTTTTTTTTTATTTACTTCTGCGATATTTTTACTGTCTTCATCCCAAGTAAAAAGACGACCGTTTATCTGAACTCTGTCAAAAATAAGCCTAACCCTTTCCCGTCTATCGCGATTTTCTTTCGTGACTTTCCACAGTTTTCTTCTAGTTTCACGCACGTCAATCGAGTAATCCTCGCTTATTGAATCACCGCTCCCTTTCAGTTTGGAACAAGACTGGAGTATTTTAACTTTGTCGCGATAATCGAGCAACTTGATAATTATTGGCCTTTTTTTCGGATCGCCTTCTCTAGTTCTACCAAGTCAGTGGATACGTGCAATGCCTGCAGTCTTCACGTCTAGTGTATTTTCGAATATTTCCTTTGATACGAGGTTATGAAGCTCTTGAAAGGACTCGTTTTGTTGTTCCTCAACTCCGTACACAATCAGGTTCGACCTCCGACTTCTGTTCTATAGATCTTCGGTTTTCCTGTTCATGCCTTTGATGTTGTTTTCTAGTTTCACTATTCACTTTACGCAATCAGAAACCTGCTTTTCCAGTCCACTAATTTTTTCAAGTTTCTTATCGATTGCAGTTAGTTTCTGATTTCTGACCGATTTTTCTATCTTGAATTCTTTTATGTTGTCCGCGGTCGCCTTTAGTTGCTTTGACCATTCGCCCTCTGTAGGCGATTGCTCAAAGAATAAGCATTTGAAAAGTTATTTATTGAGGTATTTAAAAATTTATTAGGTTATTTGAAAATTTAATAATTTAGTTAAAAAGTGGATATTTCAACACAATCCTTGTTTTTTGTGTTTTCAAAAAACTATTATTATGCTACATCATTACTATAAACTAAGCCTTGCAGAGAAGTGTCCAAGTATAGGTGTTTTCCTAACAATGTATCATGAATTGTTAAAACTATTTTGAAATTCTTGCCACTTCTTTGTTTAGTGTTGTTTTTACATAAACAGTACCGTTTCTTGTGTGCCTTATTGACTGGGACGGCTTACGGCACTTTGTCAGGCAATAATTTGTCTCTTTTCCGACTACGTCTCTTGAATGTCTACACAGTATTTTGTAACAAAATTACGATTGATTGATAGAATATTACGATGTAGGCCTTCCAAACGATGTTGCACTGATAAAAGGACTATACGAGCACACGACCTACAGGAGGTGGATGAAGATATCTCGATTTATTCACGTGCTTTGTGCCAGGTTGGTACTAAAGGCACGAAAAAACTTTTGGACGCTTATTTATAGGATGAATATGGCTCAAGGCAAAGGCGTAGCCAGGGAGTGCAACACCAGGCCCATGCCTTTCCCCGCTTCCCCCCCCCCCAGAAATGTTTTTTCACCCTTGCATGGAATACGTAAAATGGCTTCTTAAGGCGGTGCCCTCTTTAAAATATAAAGGCGACCTCCCTCCCCCCCCCCCCCCCAGAAGAAAACGAAATCTGGGTAGGGCCCTGGTTCAATGTAAAAGTACATCACATGACACTACCCGGCCCTAATCCCAGAGCTTCAGGCCCGAGGTCGGCGCAGGCCTACCATAAAACCTACTTTACCCGGTCAAACCCAGCCCATAGGCCCGCAAGCTGTGCCGGGCCAGGGTATACGGGTAAGCGCGAGCCGGTTCAGTGCTCTAGGCGCAGAGAAACATGCTCAGGTAAAGAGCGGACACTCCCGTAGAGCCTTGCGGCCGAGCTACTGTGCTGCTTTCAGCACCACGAGTGGCGGGTCAGACCCAATAATGTCTTCAACATAACCGAAACAACAAAAACATTTCTTCCAATGCTGATGTTTGAGCCCGTATCCTCATGCACCGAAAGCGAGTGTTTTTACGACTATAGGCTACACACCCATGCTTTTTTTCTTGTGTGATTCAGAAAAGAAAAGTGAGCCCCATAACTGTCTGCATTTTAGTGCGACCCCTCAAAAGTAGTTCGCGAGTGATGGGGGTAAGGAAGGAATAAAAGGTTAGGATTAAATGTTTAGAGATGGAAAGGAGGAAGGAGATAGCGTGGCGCAGGGACAGCGATACCCCGAAGCAAGGAGAAGATAGGAAAGATGGACACGGTCACAGGAGTCCGAGTACGGGGCGCCACTTAGCGAGAGCTCTTGTCAGCGGCAGGAGATGGCATAGGGCGAGCCAGTCGGCCAGAGTTGCGCTGTCATCGGAGATCGCGGGGGCACAACCAGTCGTCACGAAATCCAGAGAACGAGTGCCACCCATGCTTCCGTAAAGTGAATAAATGTACAGTTCATCTAAACCACATAATCTTGCACACTTTGCACAAAACAAATTGAGAAAGACAACACTTTTTAGACAGACTTCACGGTTTTTTGTAAAAAAATAATAAATGTCCTCTGCGAGACATAATCTAGGGCGGATATGAAAAATTGCGCAAGTCAATAATATTTCTTTCTTGCAGAAATTTGATGACAATCTTAGGTTTTCATTGTCCTTCCGAGGTTGCTATTACACGTCTTGAAAGAGGAGTTGAAGCGATTATGCGTACGCCATCTAGCAGTTAGTCAGACCCTTTCTTGCTGGGCTGCGAAAAGGCTCGAGTGGCCACTTATTATACAGTATCTTTCTCTATGCTCCAGCTACTCTAGCCAAGCGTCTCACCTCGTTTTAACACGTGCATCGCCATCGCGTTCACGCGAGAGTGGCACGTGTCGGCTCACGAGTGGATCTACAAAATTGTACTGGTTCAAACAACGTTGATTCATCCTATCACCCTCATTAAAATCAGCAGCGAGATTAGGCGCATAGCCGTTTGCATCCCGTTTCTAAGGAGCTTCGATCATCGGTAGTATTCGTACCTGGAACAACCGCTAGTTTTATTATCGCATATGTAATGCTAATAATATTCTTGATTAAATTTGTGTATCAAGGTTTCTTCACTATCTTACCTTAGCGGCTTGTTTAGTGGCGCTACATTTCCCGCATGAACTGTGCCCAAATAGGCTCCACCAGACAGCCGTCACACAGGTTCCATAAATATGGGCAATGGCACCAAAGTGAGGTTTCCCGGAGGTGCGACGAAGACGGGCCGGGTGTCATCGCCATGCTGCACCATTACTGTCATAGTCTGTATATTAACTCTACGGTTACTGCCCCCGCCCATTCCCCAGGCGGTGTTTATACATGGCCCGATGCCGTATAGGCAGCGCTAGGAAGCTTTGCTCCAAACATGAGGCGATCCGCTAGAATGCTTCCTAGTTTATATTAGTTCAGCTGCAAAACAGTGTTATACGCTACACCAAATAAGGAGGTATTCCTCAGACAAATGGCAACAGGTTTTCTTCGTTTCAGCTCCTGGAGCAAAATCGGTTCCAGGACATCCTTAAAATAAAGACCATCGGCTCCAGCTACATGGCGGCAAGTGGACTCAGCAAAGAGGACGAACCCAAGGTGAGAATAGCCGAGAAATCGACATGATGAGTTCTCTACTTTTCCATCCATGCGTTTCAGCTGAGTTAGCCCAATATTAGCTGTCAATAGGTATTCCTGGTAATATATATTTTAATGTTGAAGTTGAAGGAGAACCGCAGATTATCAGTATATGAATATAACGATTCACCCTAAAAGCTGGGCGTACAATCAAAAACATAAGAAGGAAGTCAAGACCCCACAAGCACCAACTAATTAGTGAAGAGGCCTCAAAGGCGGCAAAGAAACAAGGCTACCAAACTTACCTGCGCATGCCCAGGTGACACAGAACCTATCAGTCTGGCAACCGTGCGTGTCTGCGTGACGGGTAACTGTTAATGCTTCTGAGTTCATTTTTGTGCGATTTATTCGATTGTTGACTAACACATGCACTTCAACTAATGTTGATATGCCATGCATCATCATTAGCCTCGAGTACTCAAACATACTGTCAACTCCGCCATTGTGCACCTATTCAGTTGTTAGTCGGTGTTTGTGTTGTCTTGATTTCTTTCTTATGTCTATCTTTCCACGCTTTGTCTTTTACAACGGTACTTACCAACTTGCCCAACTCTCTAATATTCCGAAACTATATTGAGCGGCTCCCGCCAGTTTTCACTCCAATAAATAATACGTTTGAAATTGCAAATCACAGACTACATAATAATACATACAAAAAGGATCTGCAACACAAATTATCAAAAGCACCTCTAATCAACAACTAATCTCCCATAAAATAGAAAACCATTCGTCCTAAAATATCAGAAACAGGATATTACTTGCTGCCTAATCTTGGCAGTAATGTTGAACGTGCAGTTACCATTCATCAAAATGACATCTTTGAATCAGCCTGGAAAGTCGGGCTAGTTGGTAGATGTTCATCGTGATATAACCAACAGCGCAACAGGGTTGAATACGGATGAAAAGAGGACAACCAAATATATATTTTTTTAAATGAAACATGTTTGGATACCTGTGAGTTACCAAAACTGTTGATGATAATAATAATCAATTTAATAATCTCTTTTCTTTAAATACTCTCAATGCCATTTGCTGTGTCACAGAGAGGAGAGGTGTTACAAGTAAGAAATTTCAGTCTTCTATTATTCATGATCAGGGTTGCTGACGATGGAGGCTGAAAGGCGGTTCCATAAAATCAGTCTTGGGCACGTAGGAAATTTATGTTGGTATGGCAGAATAGAACATGAACTTTAATCTTGTGGTCGATGCGAGATGAGACGTGAAAATGTCGAGAGAACAGTGCGCTTTGTTTCTGAATTCATGAAGAACATATCGTGAAAAAGGCGTAGGCAGGCGCGATTCCTTCTGTTAGAAAGCGTATTGAGGTCGAGAGAAAAACAAAACGACTTTATTTAGCACAATGGGCCGGCGATTCGGCCTCCGTGGCTTTAGGTAGCAGGCTAGCAGCTCATAGTCTCTGGAATCGGGCAGCATCCTCGGCCTGTCAGACGGCCCAGAGTTGGTCTTTCAGCTCTGGACTTTGAAGGGCCGCCTCCCAGTGGTGGTGACACTGGCGAAGGTCCCCCGCGGCTCCCGCAGCCAGGGCAGCGGCAGGAACGAGTGAGCTCGAGGCTCCCTGTGATTTGGTATTGGTGGCCGCTATAGGCGCATAGCGATTGATGGCATTTGCACGACTGTCGTCGCCGGCACATTCCCAGAGCATGTGGCTCAGTGTTGCTCTTTACCCGCACGCTTTACACACATCGGTGGGGTATAGTTTCGGGTAGAGGGGACGCAGAACGACCTGACTAGGGTAGAAATGGATTTGGAGTAAGCGAAAGCTTACGGCATCGCGCCTGTTTAATAAACGCTGCCTTCAAACAGACTCTGGCTCTTCCTTCGCGTTTCCAGCGTGCATTTAGATCATGAAGGGGCTGTGAATCCCTCCAACATACATAACATAGGAACTTAAATATATATTCATTTCCCAGCAATATACAGGATATGGTTGGGTAAGTTGAATACGTTAGTTTTACCGCAATATTTTAGAAGCGGCTGTGCGTATCCACATAACGTTTCTCACGCTGAAGAAGAATGCCACTGTGAATCGCATGATACTGTTTTTCATGCCTACTTGTCTTTACTTTGTACTGCCCACTCCCAAGTTTGAAAGTTGGTTCACTTATTCAATCTACCTTTTCTCTGTAATTACTGAGTTGATGTAATGATATGCAGCTATGGATTGTAAACAGGGTGTCTCACATAACTTTAGCCTGAGTTTAAGAATATACCGGCACAAGCAAATACGACACGACCGAATGCATGCTGCATACCGTTGCCTAGAGTTATTCAGACAATTTTTTTGTGTTCTCAATTACTGAATAATCAGATTGTTTATTTACTAACTTTTCAAGAAACAAAGATGGATAAAAAATTTCAATGAGAAAGTTGTAGACGCGTTTGCGAAACACCTGATTAGATAGTTTTGAACTTTATATCTGTCGGATATTAGTGTTTTTCTGCTAATTACAAATGTCCGCGAAATACAAAAAACATGTGACCAAGCCACTCGAGCGCCAGTGCGCAGAATCATTCTAGTTCTCCCTAACGTTATTCGTACGAACGACCCCATTGTGCTGCCTCGGCAGGGCCGCAACGATGACGGTGGCTTTACCATGAACACGTATTGCTATCAGCCACAAAAACGATAACCGATGTGACTGCTTATCGCTGGACTGAACCGGTTGAAGTCAAGCGTGTCGTTCGTACGTGAAACTTTAGGGAGCACTAGAATCATCGTGCGTACTGACGTGCAAGCGGGTTTGTCACGCGGTATTTTTTGTATTTTGAGGGCATTTGTAAAGGCAGAAAAATACTAATGCTTAACAGATATAAGGTTCAAAACTATCTATTCGGACATTTTGCAAACTGATCTGCAACTTTCTCATTAAAATGTTTATCTATCTTCGTTACTTCAAAAGGTAGTTATTAAATTTATCTAATTAAGCAATACTAGACAACACAAAAATCGTGTGACTAATTCCAAGCAACGGTGAGCAGCATGCGTCTGGTCGCGTTGCAATTGCTCGTGCTGGCATGTTTTTAAACTCTGGCTAAAGTTACCTGGGACACCCTGTATGCACGTAGGGTACATCTGAGCTAAAAAAAACATAATTTAGCTAGTTACCGTCAAGAAATAAAGCAACCGCATTCACAAGGGCACAGGTGGTGCGTATTTTTTATATTTTTTACAACTTCACGTTGATAAAAATCAGCAGTGTTTTTGGTTCAGATAGTTTCCGATTTGTTGCAGCTCATGCATGCAAAGTCTCATAAGAATAAATTCAGTACTTTGTGAGAATAGGTACATCGAAATTCAAAATTCTATATATTAAAACGCTCTTTGAGAAAAATGTAGCTTGCCCCGCCGCGGTGGTCTAGTGGCTAAGGTACTCGGCTGCTGACCCGCATGCCGCGGGTTCGATTCCCGGCGGCGGCGGCTGCATTTCCGATGGAGGCGGAAATGTTGTAGGCCCGTGTACTCAGATTTGGGTGCACGTTAAAGAACCCCAGGTGGTCAAAATTTCCGGAGCCCTCCACTACGGCGTCTCCCGTAATCAAATGGTGGTTTTGGGACGTTAAACCCCACAAATCAATCAATCAGAAAAACGTAGCTTCATGTGCGCGTACTGAATACGCAAGAGGGCGCAACAAATAAACTGCTTCGAGCGGCCACTCAGCGGCGGGGCGCCACAGGTATGTTACTCCGAGTGCAGTGGCTTTTTCGCTGTTATAGTTGCTATTCTATGTTTTAGGGTGTTAACCTTACCATACCTACTCAAACACAAATATCTGATGCCTTCTTTTCTAAATCAACATCCGCAAGCTCTAAACTATGTGAATGAAACCATGTGAAAATATGCGTTGAAGCTTGTGGTTAAATCTTATTCATTGTGTGGTGTGCCCTCATAGCATGAGCTGGCCTTCATGCGCTATGTGGTGTGCGACATTTGTACTATTAAAATGCCACATTTGTTTACATTATTTTTACATTATTTTATGTGTGTGATCAACTATTCCTGGAAGAATTGTGGCATGTTTTTTTTTGTTAGTGCTTCCACTTTCTGTTTATCTGTAAAGTTTATAGAAGATAGAAACCCTGTTGAACAGCGCTTGGGTGGTAGCGTCATTGTCAGGTAGTTAATTTGCCTTTAGCAGTATCATCCCTTGACATGTAACACTTTCCGATGTAACTTGTTGAAAAGAAAACAATAATATATTAATAAAACAATATTAATATAAGATGTTTTCAGGATTGTGTTCTTGGTCTTCGGTTCACCTCCGAATTCATGGAGCAGCAGCAGCTGCAGTATCTTGATTTGCACATGCGGTTCACTCCACATCACGTATAAAGAACCCTAGGTGGTCGAAATTTTCGGAGCCCTCCACTATGCGTCTCTCATAATCATATGGTGATTTTGGTACATTAAACCTTACATATCAATCAATCCACATCAGGTAGGCTGGAAGTACCAACCCAGATCGAAAAAACCGCTGTTACATGCTAACTCTGCACACTCAAAAGTCATAAACAATGGCATTATTTTTTCAACTCTGTGTTCTTCATTCAAAACCTCGTGATATCATCAGGTTCTAGACAGCTTAAACAGCCAGCTTCTTAAGCTGAAGATGGCTGATTATGACAACGCTTCGATCACGACTGCATGCAATAAGCTGGATCCTCTAATGAGCGCAAAACTCGCGCCAGCAATTTCACTGTTGTATCATGCCTGCATTGATTTTCCCATGCACTCATGAATGTTTTCAATTGGTACAAGGTTGATTTGGTGTTTTGCGCCCCGCAGAAGATTGGAAAGATTTGCCAACTTTTCATAAAAAGCAGGTTCATCGGTAAAGGTAGGATGCAACACTAACCATGTCCACGACTTCACGACTTGCATGACAGGTATTGCGTATATGATACCTATGTCATGTGGTAAAGTTTATGTGCGACTGGGAGG